GCAAGTATGATCTATGAGTGTAACATATCATCCGTTTGTGTACAATATATCTTCTTATATGTGCAAATGACTTCCGTATTGATAATTGTACATATCATTGATAATATGTTACACGCAACGGAAGATATGTTACACTTGTTTAAATTCAGGTCTTTTTAGTCAATTAAATTTTCAATCAGGAATTTTTTTTACCTATTTTCTCATTAATCAATACCGCCACTCCCTTGAGGGGAAAAAAAAAATCTAGCATCATTAATATCAATAATATCTCTATAAGAGTGTTTACAATTACAGCAAGTTAAAAACTTACTCAAATATAAGTTGAGTTCGTGAATAATTCCAATCAATTTTGTAATGAAGAGAGACATTTGAGAGTTTGTAACTGAAACCACAAATCCGGCATTTGGCCCTGTTCATAATAATGCCTTTGCATCTGTTTCTTCTATCTTCCAACATCGAGCCATCCGCTTCAAGCTTGATAGGGTCATCTCCTGCACTATGCTTTTGGTCTCCATGATGAAAGATATGCTTATACAAGGAACAATTCTACAATGAAAAATAACAAGCATGGACACTACTATACCAAGATATTTAAAAAAAAAAAAAGTTACTACATTGAATATTCTATTCAGTTTCCTCTTTATAAGAAGGATTTTAACCTTATAAATTAAAAATAATGTTAGGATGCTTTTCATTAAATAGTCTATTCAAGTGAGCTCAATGTTCTTTGCCTTTGTTCATTGACAGAAGTATTGTAAGGAGAGAGAGAGAAATATTCATGTTTAGTGCCTGACGATGTCTTGACTGGAATTATTTAATAAAAAGATACCTATACTGTTAGCAAAAAAAAATTAAAACCCGACTCCATATATTTATTAAAACCATGTTGTTTGTTCATTGGTTTTTAATACAAAATTTGTTACAAAAATTGATTGAAATAATATGATTTCTTTTCAAAACATCCATCCTCAAGCAGCTTAGAAGTAAGCGTTGACAATACTATTTCAATACTATTTTGAGGAACAAACTTTGACTTTTGATGTACGCAAGGGTCATCCGTCATACCCTTCCAGAAACAGGGCATTTTGACAAATTCTACTATTTTCCATATATTTGGGCCTCTAGCACTTTTGTAGTATGTATTTTTCCTATTCTTTGATATAAAACATGTTTAACTAGTTTAAAAAAATTTAAAATTACTTAAATTAGTTTTTTATAATAATAAATATTGCCTTTCCCACTATCTCTCATTCTTAATATGAGAGTTTATTTAACTTTCATTTTGATCCTAAATATAAGATCCTAATCCACTTTGTCTCTCATATTTATCTTTTTTTTTTTGGGTTAATACAAATTTTGGTCCCTCATTTAAGCCCAATTTGGTTTTAGTCCCTGAAATTTAAAACGTGTGGTATAGTCCCTCAAATTATATCCGTTTATGTCCGTTGGTCTCTGACTTCTTAGCACCGTTAAATCCTGCTGATATGGAATTAACACCGTTATATGCTGAGTTGGACCACATGACCTGGTAATGAACCGCTGAGCTGGCATCCTGGTGTCATGTTAGCTAGAGATTGACCGAAAAAAGAAAAAAAAAGGGGAATCAGAGGCAAAACGCAGGGGACAACGGTGGAAGAAAAAACAAAGGGGAAAGAGTTTAGATAGAATCTGGACGAGTGGAGAAAGGAAACCAAGATCCGGTGAAGGCAAAGGCAACAAAGATCTGTGAAGGCGACAAAGAGTCAGCAAAGGCAACAAAGATCCGTGAAGGCGACAAAGAGTCAGCAAACGCGACCTAGATCCGCTGAAGGCGACAAACATTCGGCAAACGCAGGTAAGGATGACTGGTGTTTGGTAGGTTGTTGATATGGGTTTTCAATTTTTGCAATATCATATCTCTCCATCTCGTCTTCAACATCTGATTCAACTTAGGCTGTAGTCAGGTGGAATGGGGTCAAGCAGGAACTCATCATCATCGACTGTGGCTAGAAGGATGGGAAAAAGAAGACCATTTCTCTAATATATATTCAAGAATATATTCAAGAATATATTCGAGAATAAATAAGAATATATTTCTCACTTGGCTCACAAACATTAACCACTTGCATTCAACATGTGCACATTTGACCCTACACCTCACCTTATCATTCTTCACAAATTTGATTTCATATCCATGGAGTAAGGCATACTCTCTAACTGCATCTTTAAACTGACCAATGGAAGTAAACTCCATACCTAACACAAATTTAAACTCTTTACACATCTCTACCGGATTATATCTTACTCTGTTAACGTTGCCTTCTCCTTCATCGTCTTCTTCACTTGATCTTGCACTTTCATCAATTTCCTCTGACTCATGATCAGATAACAAGCCCAATATATCTTCCTCCCTTGCCTCAACAACATTATTTTGTCCTCTACCATCAGGTTCGGCTCTCCAAAATTCTGAACTCTCTACAACTTCTTCTAACACATTATTTACTCCCACATCTACATATTCTGAAAAATAATCATCATCAATTTCCTCCTCTTCACTGTTCTCAAAGTCTGAGAACATAGACCCTGAGTTTGTTTCGCTCCCTTCCTCCCCACCAGTATCACATCTATCACTTTTCCCTTCCTCCCTATCCATATTTAACTTGTCATGGCAAAATAGTAAACTAAACCACGACAAGATGAAACAAAACATTACATAACATCAGTCAACATGATATCAAAATTAATTTAACAATAAACAGAGCACAATGTAAGCAATGCATGAACCACACCCATTGTTCGGCAATAACATTGTACCCACAGACCATATCATCGAAATGAACAGCAACATAAACAAATTATACACGATTGTGCTCTGGTTTTGTTTAACACTGCCCACAAACACTCATCAAAATAGAGCACCAATGGGTTCAACTAACACAAATCAAAACAGAGCACCCATAGACACTGACCACAGATTGCATGATGAACAAGATGGGACTTTGAGTTAGCTGAACTCAAATGCACAATGCAACTTCAATGTCAACACTATTTCGAACAGATTGCAAGATGAACAGGACGGGATTTTCAATCAATATATTTAAAGGTTCATATTTGTAGCACTTACCCTTTGACAACAGCGATGCGAACACAATGGTAATCAACAATGTCTTCCTCGCCTTTCAACGGACAAAAGCAAATGAATATCAGTTATAAACCTTCTTACCATGACGGCCGCCGGTAAAAGCACTTTTCCGGTGACGCCCACGTCAGTGATTGCCGGCAACGAGTGGGTCCTCTTGACCTAGCACTTTCCCCTTTTTTTTTTCCCTCCACAAATCGTGTTTGTCGTTATGTTTGTCGGCCCCTGCGTTTTGCCTCTGATTCCCCTTTTTTTTTTTTCTTTTTTCGGTCCATCTTTAGCTAACATGACACCAGGATGCCAGCTCAGCGGTTCATTACCAGGTCATGTGGTCCAACTCAGCACATAACGGTGTTAATTCCATATCAGCAGGATTTAACGGTGCCAAGAAGCCAGGGACCAACGGACATAAACGGACATAATTTGAGGGACCAATACCACACGTTTTAAATTTCAGGGACTAAAACCAAATTGGGCTTAAATTTGAGGGGCCAAAATTTGTATTAACCCTTTTTTTTTCAAAGTGATCCTTGTAATAATGCTAATTCTAGCTAATACACTTATTAGTAAAGATATTTTAGGAAAGACTATTTATTTATTACAAATAAGTAACTCAATATTTAGGAAAGATAATATTTATTTATTACAAATAACTAACTTAATTAGTTTTCTTAATTTACTCAAATTAGTCAACTAGCTCTTATATTAGAGACCAGAGGTAGTATAATAACTTTGTTAATCATATGTATTAGTTAAGACTACTATTTGATCGAATATTTAACATGTGCAACTATTACAATACTTATTTTGAAAAAAAATAAATATAAAATATAGTGAATTGAGGTTTTATATTTAGAACCAAATTAAAATTCAAATCAACTCTTATATTAAGTATCAGTATTAATTGTAAATTGCTTGAAAGGGTTGAGGGAGCTGCTTTGAAATATTCTTAGCCACCCCTACAGGACATTGAGCGGCCACTTCACTTCGAAGATGCGTAGGGAAGAATTACAATAACATTATAAAAAAAGAATTTAATTATCAAGAAACTATGATTACAAGTGAACATATAAACCTAATGTCATTTCTGGGGCAAAATTTGTCGCTGCATACTATTTAGTTATTAATGAATTTTTGGAATGATTAAATCCCTTTTTAAGACCGAATAGTAATCCCAAAAAAGTCTTTGATGTGCTCCTCTGTTTTTTTGTTTTGTTTTGTTTTAATGATGGTTTTTAAACAATAGTTGTTAATTTGGATGGTTAAAACATCAATTTACATTATCTTTTAAATTTATAATTTTAAACTATTTTCATTGGTTATAAATATGAAAGGGATTTTCATTAATTGGGTACCTTCTAATGAAAATAATTACAGGACATTTAAACATTTTTATAAATAAATAACTAAATTAACTTTTTTTTATTTATGTGAATCAGTTATTTAGTTTATATATAGGTTCCTGGAGAATAATTTTTTTTGAAGTTGCTTCTTTTAAAAGTCCATAAAAAATGTGAGGGAATATAATACTTTTTATTAATTTTCAATTAAAAAGAGATTCTCTCAGTAAATACGCCTCTATTTTATAATATAAATTATATTACAAAATAAATTTTATGTATAATTCAGATTGGTAAAAAATTCATACGAGAATGTTTTGTTTTTTTAAAAAAATTTGAGTAGAAACAAAATTATAATTTTAAAAATATTTTTATAATATACAAAATAAATATATATAAAAAAAGATTTTTGGGTTATCTGAACACACTTTTAAAACTGGTAAAAAATTCATACAGGATGTTTTGTTCTGGTCAGCTACCTTTCTGTCAAGATACAAATAAATGAACCAGCGTCCAGGTGCATTCCCCCATTAGCCACTTGTCGGGTTCCAGAGTGGTCATTCATTGAATGGCAAAACTGATTGGTTTGGATTAGGGCTAGGGCTTTTAAGGTTTCACCTTGTTTTCCCTGTGCTGCGAAATTCCGTGACGCATTCATTCTTCGTGCTGCTTATTAGAAACCATTTTTCCAGCACTGTCACTGCACTTTCTTTGGACGCTCTTGTCGCCATTTTTGATTTGGGCGCTATTGTACCTGGTGCTCATCGTCCAAACATCTGTGGCATCGACTTTTATAGATTTCACCGATTGTTTCTCAAGGATTTGTTTTGTGTTGCCAATCTTAATGGACTTACCCCACTCTCAATCAAATTGGTCTCTTGGGGTTTCTTCTCATGCTTGGACATCTCACCGTGCCCGTATGCCTGACGATTCCATTTCCCTCCAGCTCGACTCAAGCCTCCGTGATCCGATGCACCCGGTTCCTCCGGTTCCACTCCAATTGTTGGAGCCGCATACGGAGAATCATAGGGCAGAGAATGGAAACTTGAGGGTAGAATCTGATGAAGACGATGATAGAGAAGTTGAGGAGTTTCGGATTCTTGGTCATTCAATGTGCTTGAAGAGGCGAAGAGATAGCGAATCATCATCGTCTTCTTCAAATTGCAAGAGGGTTTCGGTCGAACCAGACCTTGAGACGCGGAGAGCTGCTGTTCGATCATGGGGTAACCAGCCCCTAGAAGTGGCAGACCCTGATATCTATGCGATAATGGAGAAGGAGAAGCAAAGGCAATATAAAGGGATTGAGTTGATAGCTTCTGAAAATTTTGTGTGTCGGGCTGTGATGGAAGCCCTTGGAAGCCACTTGACGAATAAATACTCCGAGGGAATGCCAGGGGCGCGATATTACGGAGGGAATCAACATATTGACGAAATTGAAACGCTCTGTTGTGAACGTGCATTGGCCGCATTCCATCTTGACCCCGAAAGTTGGGGTGTCAACGTCCAACCTTATTCATGCACCTCAGCTAATTTTGCTGTATACACAGGACTGCTGTTGCCTGGTGATCGTATCATGGGGCTGGATACACCATCTGGAGGAAATACTAGCCATGGGTACTATACTCCAAGTGGGAAGAAAGTTTCAGGGGCGTCAATATTCTTTGAGAGCTTGCCGTACAAGGTGAACCCACAAACTGGATATATTGATTTTGATAAGCTTGAGGAAAGGGCACTTGATTTTCGTCCCAAGATTCTAATTTGTGGTGGCAGCTCATATCCCCGAGAATGGGATTATGCAAGGTTTAGGCATATCGCTGACAAATGTGGAGCTATTTTAATGTGTGACATGGCGCAGATCAGTGGGCTAATTGCAGCCAAGGTGTGGAATAACTTCTTCTGCGTAGTTAGTTATGGAAAATTTGATCTGCATTGTATATGGTTGTCTACCATATGGAAAATTTCCTTTTGTATTGTTTGAGCTTGTGAGTTATGACATTTGCAATACTTCTCTTCATTTTACACTATCACTGCCCCTTTATGTTGTTATTTTGTTGAAGTGTCTTTTAGCCTTTAAATTTAATACCAGCGTCTATTTGAATTAAATTTCCTGACTGATAATTACGAATAGGTCTGGCTTGAGTCAATTTTAATCTCTTGCATCATTAAGTAGTGATTGATGCACTACGCTGCAGTCATCTTTGAACTAATTTTTTGTTTTATCGGTTTGGTTTTGTTGTCTTTCCAGGAATGTGCAAATCCTTTTGATTGTTGTGATATTGTTACTTCAACAACTCACAAAAGCCTTCGTGGTCCTAGGGGAGGTATAATTTTTTACAGGAAAGGTATCAAACCAAGGAGGAGAGGGAGCCAGGGACATGAAAGTGATCAATATGACTTTGAAGACAAGATAAATTTTGCTGTCTTTCCATCATTGCAAGGGGGACCACACAATAACCATATTGCAGCTCTGGCCATAGCTTTGAGACAAGTGGCTACTCCTGAGTATAAGGCATACATGCACCAAGTGAAGAAGAATGCCCAAGCTTTAGCATCTGCTTTATTGAGAAGAAATTGTCGTCTTGTGACTGGGGGTACTGACAACCACCTATTACTTTGGGATTTGAGGCCTTTGGGCTTGACAGGTATTATATAATTGGCAGATGTATCTTTTGATGGCCTTTTTAAGGGGCTTCTTTCTTTGTTTGATGATATGCACATGTTCTTTAGACTCCTCTCTTGGGCAATTTGTCTGCAGTTGCCATCAGTATTGTTTTGCTTCACTGGTAGGGTCAAATTCTACCATGGTACCATCTGAATGTAATGCAATTTTGGCATATTATTTTATGCTGAAGCTTTTTTAAAATTATATATTTGATGTTTAGTTTTGATTTTTATGCTGGTTGTGTGTCTGCATGCAGGTTTGGTTTGATTCACTTGTTTTGTTGGATTCTTTGATGTTACCCGTCTTTATGAACATTAGTATATGTGCTTATAGACATTATTCTAAAAACTGCGTATCTTCAAAGGGTCTTGCATCCAGCTTAACTGTAGCAGTCTATAGTATGCGCTTAAGTTTGTTCTACCTGTTATATCCTATCTTCTGTGATTACTATCCACGGGCTGGATGTTGATAATTTATTTTGAAGTAACTGTGAGTCTGTGGTGTATCACGTTTTCTGCCTTCTGCTAATTTTTTTGGGGATATAAAGGAAGCACAAGCACTTAAGAGTTGGAAATGGGGAAAGTAGCAAGGAAGGGATGAAACCTAGCTAAGTTAGGCCCTTTCCTTGAACTAAGGTTCTCTGGCTTTTTGTTCCACATGTTAATGGGATCAACCATCTTGCATAGATCCCTGGTTGACATTGTATATGACAGATGGCTTACATTCCATTCAATTCTGGTGGCCATGGCCTTAATTGGTCTTCATTTTATCTAAAATGTATCGTGCCGTGGGTATTCATTTCGGGAGCTTCGAGAGTTCTTCCTACATATATGATACATTCTGTTTCTGGCTAGTTATACAATATTCAGGGATGTCAAGACTCAAAAGCATGAGCTAACTTGAAGTGTCAAAACCCCAAAAGGCAGAGGCAGTGGATTGGGTGCCTTCCTAAACTGAAGTGGCCATTTAAAAAAAAAAAAAAAAGAAAAAAAAAAGAAAAAATTGTTAAGCAATTGGTGGAGCCATCAGCAATTTAAAAAAAAATTGACAATTCAATGCAAATTAACTCGTGAATTCAATCATGATGTTGAAAAAATGTAGTTGGAGGGGCTGAAGGGCACATTTCCCGATATGAAATGGAATTTGAGATTTGGAGTGAAAACTAAACTGGAGTACTGTATGGAGTTTGAGTCTGTAACAGAGAATGGATATTGTCATACTGGCCACGTGAGGAACTAATTTCTCTCTGATGTCAAACTAAATGGAGGGCTTGAAACTTCACATAAGTTATCAAATCAGTGTTGACAGCAACTATAATGCAGAATTTGGCTTAACGTTGACTAGAAAAACAATAGCAGCTATGAAATCAGAAGAGGGAGAAAAGCTTTGTAATACTTGAGATTCCTGCGGAAATGAAAGAAAGAGTGTTAGCAGCATCTGTCTTGCTATCTCTTTAATAGGCATGTGTATCTTCCTTCAGGCGTTGAAGCCTTATACAGTCATACTTCAGGGAGCGTTGCAGAATTGTGTGAATATCTGAGTGTGTATATGGAGCTTATTTGGCTGAGCGCACCTTTAATTCCCATGCTCAATTACCCAAAGGCTATCTTGTAATTTGAATGGGTATAAGTGTATGAACCTGGTAAAATATATAGAGATGGGTGGCTTTGGCTCCACATGTTAATGTTTTATTGATTTTTTCTTAAGTTTTTTTTTTTTTTTTTTAAAAACTTCAATAGGATAACCACATAAGTTTGGATTGTTTTGTCTTTGTAAATTCTGGCAAGCGCTAAGTTTCTTTGATTTGTGTTCACAGGTAAATACTATGAGAAGATCTGTGAAGCATGTCATATTACTTTGAACAAAATTTTTGTTTTTGATGACAATGGAACCATTACTCCTGGAGGTGTAAGGATTGGTATGTGATAGTTTGAAATGCCTGAATATGTTTGCATATTTGATGAACTCTACATTCTGATGACTGCTTCCATTGTGGTTTCCTAGGTACCCCAGCGATGACATCAAGAGGGTGCCTGGAGTCTGATTTTGAGACAATGGCTGAATTTCTTTTTAGAGCTGCACAAGTTGCAAACATATTGCTGAGAGAGCATGGGAAGATGCAGGGTGTTTTGAAGCACCTTGAGAGTAATAAGGATATTATGGAGCTCCGTTCCCGGGTTGAAGCATTTGCAACTCAATTTGCAATGCCGGGTTTTGACAATTGAACAAGATCAATATGGTGTATGGCCATTGTTGATAATTTTGGCTTCACTGGCTTTTCCCCCTGCTTGCTTGTTGCAATAGCAGGCCCGCCTGATCCGCATATAGCTTATGGAGCTCTGCACCCTCATGCTGTTATCAGGTTTTTGCATGACACAATGCGTCACAACAGTACTGGAAGTACAGTGCTGTACTGTTGTTGAGGTCGTTTTTATTCACAATATATTTTGCTACAGTGAAACATTGCTTGCCTGCTAATTGCAGCATTCTAGCCACTGTAGAGGTTGGGACTTTGGGTTATCTGGGTGTTTGATCAATCCGCATATTTGATCAATGCACATGGCTCTAGAATTGTTTGTTTTTTTGGTAAGCCTGCTTAGCAGAATTAAAGTCCTATAGCAAGGGATACCTTCGCCTATTTGATGCTGAAAGCATAGTGACTATATATACCACGCTTTGTTCACACAAGTTCTTAATGGAACGCATAATTTTTTGTGTACAGCTTGTTCAAGTCTCAATTGTCGTTGTTGGTGGGTGGTGTTGGTATTATTTATTATTGTTATTATTATTAATCTGTTAATATCAAATTAGCAAGGTTGGTTGTCCTTGCTTAAGTCAAGCCTTTAATATTTGAGGTGCTTCTGAGTTCAAGTGCTTTTAGGTTGACTGACCTGGAAGCTTGTTGAAATGATTTGAATGAAGTTCTTACATTCTACTTTAATACCATATTCATGTATAGAATTAATTGATGTTAACAAGGGCCATTTTTTCAGCAAATATGTGCTAGTCTAGATTGAGGGGATTTCCTTGAAAAATTTGAATACCTTGTTGAGTGAAGAACATTAAATTTCTCAAGGTTAAATAGGAAAACATCATGGGAAGTGAACAACAACCATCCAAATCTTGTTGAATAAGGGGAATGAAAAAAGGGTCACAGATTAGCTAAGTTTGTCGGGACTGCTAATGCCTGTAGAAATTTTGTACCTGTTCACAGGTGTTAATTGTGGCCTTCCAGGACTTGATGCTGTTGGACTATCTAATAAAAAGCTACCTTGACCTGTTGCAGCTTAGGCTGCGATGGCGATATGTGACAGTAGGATCGTTGCCACTTTGTCATCACAAGGAAATATTCCGGCAGCCATATTCATACTCTGGTTCTCGAATGGAAATAGAAAACGGAAAAGTAATATTATGCTACAGTGCAGTGTCATTTTTTTCTTGGTGTCATGTTTTCAAAATTAAAAAAAAGAAAAGTTAACAGCTGTTACTTCTGTTCATTTCATTCTTATTTTCCGTCTATTTTGATGCACCAATTAAACAATCCGAGATAGATGCAGCTATATTCATAACTGAGGTGCCCTAGCTCTCAAAGCTGTACCAGGTCTACTCTGGCCTCCATGATGCCAAGATGCATGCTGTGCCAAGTAAATTTTAGCAGTAATCGATTATGATTCTTTGCACTCAATGCTTGTAGCGTGAGTAGGAGCCATGCCCAATATCTTTCATTTTGTGAAAAAGCAACGTTAACTTGTGCCAATGAATATGCTAATTAATTAGCTTGCTTGTGAAGTCTAAATCTTGTGTTTTAACATTCTCCTCAAATTGGAGGTTAATAGATCTGGACAAACAGGCTTACTAGTGCTGTTTCTGTATGGGATTTTCATACCCTTTCGTTTATATATATATATAGAGAGAGAGAGAGTTAAGAGTTTTTTTTTCCTAATATCTACTATAAACTATAATACGGGCGTGCCAGAAAATAAAAAGATGAGTGCTTTATGGAATTAAATTCAAGTTGTGGATTCTTTTCTCTCTGAACCCTGTCCTATCAGCACGTTTGTGCCCATCATTGTATGACAGCAGGGATGAATATAATTGGGCATTTCACATCAGTACCATCGGCATTACATAAAAGAAGGCAATTTGGCCATTTCCAGAGTACGATGGTTTTCTGGGTGAGGCAAAAGTCTCATATGATTCTCTCTTTGCTTCCTTTTTTTGTTTCTGGATTCTTAACTGTACTGTTTGTCCCATGCTGACAAAGACGGCCATTTCAGAATGCATAATGTTGTTTTCTTCAGTAATGTCAGCTTCTTCATCAATAATAGAGATGCTCCCTAGGAATTCATTCTCTATTTACATTTTTACTCTCTTTTGTCAATCTTATCCTCTAGCTCTTTCATTTCTTTTTGGGGCTTGTATCATCCACACGTACAAAAAAAAAAAATTCTCGGATCAGATGAGTATTCATTTAGTTCTATCGTCTATATCCTGTCCGAAATATAAAATATAAAGATGTTTCATCAGCTTGCAAATCTGAGTTTGAAGAATGTTAAAAAAATGTTTGGATGAAAACTAAATCATAGTTTCAAAAGTGATTTTATGATATACGAAGTAAATATGTAGAAGAAATGTCTCGATTTGCAGAAAAGTGATTTTTAGAAGCATTTTTATGTCATGCCCAACACCCCCAAGTGACATTAATATTTTGCAATGAAGATGAATATGTTATTAATATGATCAATACAATATTGCCTAAAAGAACCGAGTACCTATAATGAACTGTTTGGTTTTAGAAATATGTTAATATTACCTTTTTATTTTTTTCCAAAAATGTAAGATATTTAATTAACAATACATTATTCTCTGTTAGCGAAATAACTGAAAAGCAAAAAAGAACTGTCGCTTTTTTTTTGGGGGGGGGGGTAAAAACTAACTGTTTAATGGCTTGTCTGCATCTGTTTATTTTAAGAACTTATAATAAGCATTTACAAGCATTTTGATACAAAACTTTTTTCATATACTTCTTATTTTTTAAATCATGATTGAAAAATTATTTTTGAAGGCTCTTATTGCAATTCTAAATAAGCCCTAAGTTGGTGACATTGATCTGACCATGTAATTTTTACCTAACATTTCTCATTTCAGCATGTAATTGTCTAGTTGGCAACAATTTTTTTGGGGTACTAAGTTGGCGACAAATTCATTATGTACTATGATGCTATTTTTCTTAGTTTTAATCATTATGTTTTTCTTTTTAACTTTTTGGGTTGGTATAATTTTTGGTCCCCCAAGTTTGTCTCCATTTTAATTTTAGTCTGTCAAATTTTAAATCATACGTTTTAGTCTCTCAAAAAGCAAAATGACCAAGTTTTTATTGAATTATAAGAATCAATATTTTAAATGAAGAGAAACTAAAAGGATCAAACCTTATTATTTGAAATGAAAAACTAAAACTAAAATAAAGATAAATTTAAGGATAAAAAATTTGTATTAACTTTTTTTAATTCTCATGTATAAGCCTTTTTTAAATCTTTCTACTTTGCCCGTGGAAAATCTGCTTTTACTTGTGACGTATCACTCATTATTTTTTCCTTGATGAACAGACGTCAATCATCTTCAAAAAAAGAAAAAAAAAAAACAGAAGAATGGTTCTTCTTATGAAAGTTTTCACTATTTTTTTTAAAAATATCTTCAATTTTTAAATGTCATATTGAATAATAAGAAGTATTTATTTGGTTGAAAACCCTATCGAATAGCAACAATCATCAACAGAAAATTTACAATATATGAATTAAAGTTAAAATATTTAATTTTAGTTTTTTGACCTAAATAATTAAAAAATTGAATATAAATATCTTGAGGTGTAATTTACTTCTTGAATCTTATTTATAAGGGACTTTTAATAAAATCACACAAATCATAAAGGATGATCAAAATTCTTTAAGAGTCCTGATTTCTTGGAAAATTATCATAGCATTCCCAAATTATCCTAAACTAAAATTATGGGAAAATATAGCATTTGTCCCTAAATTTTTCCTCAATTATCAATTCTATCCTGAACTTTGACGCAAAACATATTTAATCGGACACGCCCTAATCCCTATAGTTCCTTGACTACTCAATGTTTAAAATTTTTCACTTGAAACAACCCAAATTTTATAATTTCTACTCTTAATACATGACAAAGATGGAACTGTTTTGAGCTAAAGTTTAGAAATTGAATAGATATATTTAGAGAGAGTGCAAAAATTAAAAGTTATATTTTTCCTGAAATAATTAACTTCTACATCTAAGGGAAAATGACACAAAAATAATATTTGAATTTGGAAATACCAAAATAGTCATTTGAATTTGTAAAATTCTAATTTAGTCACAAGTGACTAATTTGTCATCTATAAATTTACTGAAATGACCATATTGCTCTTTATTTTATTTATTGTTTTTTAAAAAACCAAAACCCCCACTGGCCGGTTAGTCAACGGCGCTCCGGCGTTGGGGCCAGCGGCTGTCACTGGAGCTCCGGCAACCGGCTGACAGTTGGTCGCCGGAGCTTCAGCGATAAGAAATAATTTTTTTGAAAACTTTTAAAATTTCAGTATAACAATTAACAACTTTTATAATGCTATTAATAACTTCCAAAAATTATTAACTTCTACATCTAAACTTTGAAATCAAACATCCTACAGAAATAAACTAGTTAGATGTATGAATATTTTTAAAAATAATTTACTTAATTTTATAAATTTTCCCATTTAGCAAATTTCCCTTATGACGAATTAAATGAAAGTTTTAGAATGTGTCTGGTATTGATGAGCAAAGGTTGGTAGTAAATTTTTCAAAAAAAGAAAGACTACAAGTACAATTTTATCCCTAATTTTATTTCTCATCATCAGCATTTCAATCTTTTTAATGATGAAATTTTATCTATAATCTCTTTTTAGTGCAAGTTGGTACACCTAAAATTGAAAAAAAAATTGTATTAAGAAATTATAGATAAAATTATATACACATGAGGGTAAAATTGTACTTTTACCAACAAAAAACAATTTCTATCTCTATGATCTAACCACGTTGGACACTGTGAGCATCAGCCAAGAGGCTAGACCTGTGAATTGTGATCTGATTTATGTTTGCCGTACCAATTTGGCTTCTCAGTTGGAGCTTTCAAGTCACAAGGTCCTCATTAAAGTCAAATTATCATCCATATAATCATTTTGCCACTTTGCTTCTTTGCAGGTAATGATTCAAAACACGCAGCCGCTTAAAATATATTTTTAAAATATAGAAGTGATATTAATAATAGCAACAACAAAAAATGCAATCAGACATGTTTTTGACAACTGTTTAATGGATAAAACTTTTATTCTTACTTAAAATATTTAATTTTTCATAAAAAGGGAACACTTGTCACGTATGGATTTTCCTTGGATTATTTACATTTTAAGTACAATTATAATTATGATTAGAAGTGATTTGTTTTCAAAGGGTCGGTTTTAGTACGTGAGATAAAATAAAATAAATAAATAATAAAAGTAAATTAAATTAGTTTCCATGCATCACCTGTTACCATCTCTTCTATCGCTAAAAACGATAATTAAATTTTATTTTGCTTTTTCTAATCTTAAATATAATAACTAATAAAACGATTTATTTTGATTTTAAATATATAACATCAATTTATTTTATTTTACAAATTTATAGTTTTTGCTCAATTTTTCTTATTGATTGTGTATATTTAAAAGAATCTTTTTTTATGAGGGATTAGATTCTAATGCAAATAATTAAAATGGGGTATTTTGTAGTGGGAATCAATATACCTTTTTTTTAAATAACTGTTTTAACTATTTTTTTTTTAATTTTTACAAATTACTTATTGAGTTTTATATTTAAGATTAGAAAAAACATTCAAGATTAGCCATTTATTCTATTTTATGATTAAAAAAATATGATTTGACTTAAAGAGCAACCAAAAAAGAAGCAAATCTACGATATAATAGTTTCATATTTGGACATACATGTTGGAATACAAAATTGTAACATCGATGAGTGAAAATTCCCTCACAGAAGAGAATAGAATAGCATTGATTTTAAGTTATCACATTGCTTCACAAAATATTCTCATTGACTTCCGAAACACATTAAGCTTAGATGTTATGAATATATTACCTCCGGTATTTAACATAAGAACTCGTTTGAATTTTATTTTTGTCCTAAATATAAGACTTTACTATACTTTATCTCTCACATTTATTTATTTTTTAACAAGTAGCTTTTTTAATAATAGTAGTTCTAGCCAGTACACTTGATTAGCAAGAATATTTTACAAAAGATAACATCTATTTATTACAAATAACTCACTTAACTAATTTTCTTAACATATTCAAATTAATCAACTAACTCTTATATTAAGAATATGAGGCAGTATATAAATATTCTCCCTAATACGTGAAGAGCAAAAGATGTTTCTTTCTCTAGAAGTTGCTCAATATATTCTTGTTTCTTATCTATGTATCCTCATTTTGCTTTTTCTCAAAGCTAGAATCTCATTCTTCAATTTCTTAATGAAACTTTTTGTAACAAATTTTTATAGTAATCTTTTTAATATTTGGCCAAAAGAATTATTCCTCATAATATATATATATATATTTTTTTTTGCTACAATATATTATATGGTTAAGGAAAAAAGTCATACAAGAAAGAATGTGTGTGAATGTTTTTAAATTTCTTTTAGTCCCTATCTTTGCATTTCTTTTGAAGCACATATCATGGCATTTAATTGTAAAACAAGGTACAACTATATCTTTTAAATAGTTTTATTCTCCACCCCCCCCCCCAATAATTTTTTAAATAGATGAGATATTTATGTCTTAGGAATTCAAAATACATTTCTTTACCCCAATTAATTAATTTTTTTGAACAAATATTTCCCAATATATAATTTGTTTGGTTTTCACATAAAATAAAAGCTTCCTCAAGGCTGTACCATTGCGTAGCTTGCAAATCAATCCATATTGAATATGAAAACTACAAAGGAAAAATAGCAACCAAAAAAAAAAAGGTAGGACTAGAATTGCATCAGAAAATATGATATATCATATTTCTCGTATGTGACGTTGCTTCTAATTTCAACATAATTTTTCTGGCCAAAAAAAAATTTCAACATAATTTTATTTCATTTTGTTCTCACGTACTCCCCCCCCCCCCCTTTTTGGCCTTTTTCACCCTGCAAATATTCAAAATCTGTATGATCTATCTCTGGCTACTACACATGTCCAAGAGCTTCTTCCTTCCTTCCACTATCTCGTCAAAGAAATCATCAAGCTGTCCAGTTATGGTCTCTACCCCAAATCTCAACAGCCCAAAGCAAGTCTTCAAGTTCTCAGCTTTTTCTCGAATCTTCGTTTCTTCTTCTTCTTCTTCTCCTCCAAAAGCCATTATTCTCTCCAACCCCACTTTCAATTCCTCCATGGCAACCTTCGCTTGCTGAAATTCGAACAGTAAGATCCCTGGCTGCCCATCAATCTGATCAATCTCCTCTGCCACTTTCTGCTGCAAATTGGCCATTGAAACCACGAACCCAGATGAGAAGGCCCTTTGCTCTCCGTAATTTCGATGGTGGAAGCACGAGGATGACCAACAATACGCGAGCCCACAGAGCAGAATCATCAGAAGCAATGAGCTGACGCTTCTCATTGCGTATAGAACTCCTCGGAAGCCATTGAACCCATTCAGCTTTGATTCCATGGAGATGTTCTGGTTCAGACATTGGGACAATGGCTGGATTCTTGTTTCTGTTAAGCTTTTGTTTTCCTCTTCCAGCCCCAGAATCTCCCTCTGACAGATGTTTAATTCGCGGATAACCTGTTTGTGGAAGTGACACAATGAAAAGCTAAGAGTGAACTGAAATATAAAATCAGAATATGATTTGTAGTCTTGGGTTTAAAGCTAGTTTAGACGTGTGTATATAAATATGTAGTTATATACCTACCTGGCGTGCAACTTCTGGAGTCAAATGGTGGTGGCCATCAATGGAGGAAGCTATGTTAGCGCCAGAAGAATGAAAGTTTTCCATTCCAGAAATGGCAGACTTGAGAACATGACAGAGATCCCAGAGCCTTGAGCTTTCGTCCATGTATTCATCCAACCATTTTCCTCCAACAGGCAAGCGAAGCTTTTGGACTAAAATGGTCAGTTGGGAATGAAATGATTGGAGGTATGAGAGGACCCCAGAAAGAAATTGGACTGACATGAAATTATTTGAGAGGAAGGATTGGTGAAGCTCAACGAGTCCCTGGTTAAGAAAGCTGTAGAAGCCATTGACAGAAGAGTTGGTGCATGAAGAACCCATCGTGGAAGATTTAGGAAAAAAGGGGTGTGGTTTGAGGGAAAGGTGATAGAGACTGAAGGGTATATATATAATTATGAGATCAAGAAAAGAGAGTTTGAAGCAATCAAAAAAGTGGGTAGCTTAGGAGCTCAGGTTGCTAAGGTGAAAGGTCCTGTTGGGTGCAATCATGGGTGTTTCCTATAGAGTGGAGGGGATGATTGGGAATCTGCTGTTTTTATTGTGAAACGAGCTGGTAATAAAGATATGGAAGGAGGACCGCAAAGTAGATTGTTGGGTGTCCTAAACATGTTGTTAGGGATTCAATTCCATTATGCATAAAAAAAATATTTGTCAGGATAAGTAAAGCTCACTTGTATGATCTCTACACTTCGAAACGGTTTAGTTCTCATATGTCGGTTAAACGATATTATTGGTACACAGCAGGGGGAAAAACAAGGAAAGAGAAAACAAAAGGAAAAAGAAAATGGAAGTCTTGGGGAGATATAATCACATGGCAAGGCATAAATCAGCATGACGAGTGATACATAGTAAGATCTTTTCCAATTTCCCTGACTCTATTTTTATTTTCACCTTGTTCATTGCTCTTCAGCTCGGGGGCTCGGCGAAATCAACAATCTGTAAGCTAATGATACATTAGATTGCGTTTTCAGGGTATGAAAGTTTGAAAAATTTGACCAAGATTCTGCTTCTCATTCTTCAATTTTGATATGGTTCTCCTTTTGATCTGAGTGCTTTTGTTTGGCTTCTTTAATCATTTCTCTCTTCTCCCCCTGTTTTAAGCAACATGCCTCACAGTGCACCTTTTTGGTTTTATAGTCCTAAAGATAGTTATACGTACATAGTCTATTTTGGTTCTGTTTCTTTTGTTTCTATTATTTTTTGCCTTAATTTTTTTATGTAATTTAATTTGGTTCCTTGAATAAAGAAGTGAATGATAGGGTTCTGTGTAGTGGGATTATTTTACATATTGCGATGCAGATTCTGATTTCTCCTTTAGGACCCAACATTCTATTCTTGGCATTAAACTAAAGGGCCTTCATTTGCTTGCAATGTTATATATATTGCCAAGACATGTTCCCAATGATTCCAGATAAGGGTCATTCTGGTATGGACCATAATTCCACACGCATAAAAGGCTTCACTGATACAATTCTATTTTTTTAATACAAGACAACGGTTAAGATAAGATTAAACTAACGGTCAAAAGATCTCATGAAATGTAACATGATTTCTCTTAAATATCTCTAACATTAGATTATACTATTCCCACTTATTCAGTCCTTAATATAAAAGTTAGTTAAGAGATTAGATTTGCTCCTAAATATAAGATTTTAATCTACTTTGTTTCCTAAATTTATAATTTTTTCCCAAGATATCCCTATGGATTGTGAGAAGTTCCTATCAAAGGATAGTTCTAATGAACATTATTAAAGATGATAGTTTAGAAAAGTTCACACCTATTTGTTACAAATAGCTAATTTAACTTATTTTTTTAAATATTTTTAAATTAGTCATTTAACTTTTACATTAAGGATTGGGGGTAGTATACCGGTTTATGAGTTAGATAAATTAACTTTAAGAAAAATGAGAAATATGATAGATAAATTAATTTTTTTAACTAGCTCTCACGTATAGGATGCGAGCAATATATTTCTATTTATGTTACAGAGCTGCTTGCCAAATTTGCTGGCTGAAGCCTGCAAGTTAAAACTTTTTTGGGACAAACAAATGAACGACACATGTATTTTCTGATGAAAGACATTCGACAGTTATTGATGCCTTTTGATTCCCACTCTCTCAATTAGTAAAAAAAAAAAAAAAAACTGTTGGTGTTACTGTAGTACCTTTGCTTGTAATATAAAAGGAAAACTACACTTATTAAATTGAACTTTTATCTTTGAAGAAATCAATAACATTTATCTTGTAACTTAAGACCCGTTTAGCCTGGCAAAGGAATGGGATTTACATTTCTTCAATTCTGAGCAATGTGTTATATGCTTTGTAATCATTGTTTAACGTTTTAATTTTTTTTTAATAACTTTTACAAGATAAAAATATATATCAGATTCATTTCTTTATTTACAAACAAATTTTTTTATTTTATGTGTCATTTTGGGTACTAAATGGATCTTTACTCTTGTCTTTGTCTTGGGACCATATTCACTAACTGCTAAGGAAGTTTGGTTTGGTAATAGATTGTGATTATTTTGATCATTAGCTTTATATTTTTTTTTCCATTCATAATATTTAAACACATAACCATGCTTCAAACGTATTAAATATCTTCTATTACCTCCGGTCCTAATTATAAAAGCCAGTTAACTAATTTGAGGAGACTAAGAAAGTAAACTAAGTTAGTTATTTGTCCTAAATAGATGTTGTCTTTCCTAAAATATCTTTGCTAATCAAGTGTATTAACTAGAACTATCATTATTAGAAAGGCTACTTTGAAAAAAAAAATATAAACAAGAGGGATAAAGTGGATTATAGTCTTATATTTAGGACCAAAATAAAAGTCAAAAAAAGTTTTATATTAAGGACCAGAGTTAGTATTTATTTTTAGTATTTGTCCCCCACATAATGATTACATGACCACCATATAAAGCCATTAGAACATAACTATTCTTTATATGCAATAATTATATATGAATTTTAATATTATTTGGTTGGGTTTGAGTATAGTCAAATTTAATTAGGATATGAAAATACAATATATTAAAAATAAATGTGCTCACTTAATTGAATTAGGGGCAATGGAACCCAGCTTTTGTACAAAGACTACAATAAAATATGTCTGAAACAAATCTAATAAAAAAGGTGTCCCCTTTCATCATTACTTGAAAAAAAAATTTTATAATAATGATAAAGCATACTCCTATCTCACTAAAACCAGAGCTGTCATAAAGTCAATTAATTAATATTATGATCTATCAGTATGAGTCAATAATGTGCCCTATGCCCCTGTCAACATCAAAAATCAAAAATAAATTAAAAGATAAACAAGAGCAACAATAAATTAATTACAGTTACAATAAATTGTATTTGACATGAGATTTTTTTTTTAATCCAGCTATGCAAATTAACAAAACACCAAAATATGATATATTTACAGTTGTGTTTGGAAGTAGATAGGGAAATCCCTGAACATTCCTCAAACATGTGGCGTTTCCTAGTTTACACTACATACAATGCTATGACTATTCAACAATAAAAAGCTTATCATTATCTCTGATCAAATCAATAGATTCTAGTTCTGCTCCTCCTTCATCAGTCACCATCGCATCTTTTGCATCGAACCCAAATCTTTCACCTACATATCAAACAAGACATATTATCTCTGATACCTCATTTTAAATTGTTATTCCATTCGGTCTTAAAAGTAGGAGTTGGATAATTAAGTTACATAAATTGAGAAAGTTAATTAAATTAGTTATTTATGACAATATGTGCAAGTTTTTCTAAAATACTTCCTTTAATAATTGGTATTGAAAACTATTAGTTATTTATGACAATATGTGCAAGTTTTCCTAAAATACTTCCTTTAATAATTGGTATTGAAAACTACCATCACTGATGAAAATCCCAGTCAATAAAATTGTTTGGAAAAAGAATTATAAATTTGTGAAACAATGTGAATTGAAGTCTTTCATTTAAAATCAAAGCAAACCCCTCTTGGGATGGAAAGTAATAATTTAAGGAGTCTTTTTTTACCTGCAATGCTCTTAAGCTCCTCTATTGACTGAGGGAACTTTATCATCTTGCCAGGTTCAATGCAACCTTGTTGTCTTCTCAATATAGGATTGCCTCTAAATATGCTAACTCTTGAAGGGATTTGCCTATTGTTATTATTATATGTTCCCAAAATATTGTCTTGCCCTCCTTCATGTTTATCATTGAGAGCAGAAACAACATCTGAGCCATTCATGAAAAGCAATTGAATCATTTCCAAATGATTCTCTTGCAAGGCAACTTGCATTGGCGTTGAACCATGGTGATCTTTGGACTCTATGTTCAAGCCTTGTTTTAAAAGCTCACTCATCACTGTTAGGTCATTTCTCTTTGCTGCTTTACAAAGAAGATCACCTGCTGTGTGTGGATCCGAGAGCACAGCAAGCTGGTACAGGATTCTGAATATTGAGTGACGCTTTGAAGCTATGGCGTCCCACAATGCAGTGTTGCCATTTATGTCTGCCAAAATTTACAAGAGGAATAAAGCACTTCATCAGTGCCAAGTTGATGAGCATCTAAGTGGGATGGATAATCCTGTCCCAAAAACTAGTTGTTGAGGTGAAGAACAAATACACTTAAATATCCCATTAAATCCATACTATTCAAAGCGGGATTTAGCATCCCATGCTACTAAGTCTCCATCACAGGTGTATATATTGAAGAACATGCGAAGGGAATTAGATATAAAGGGTATAAGAGTATAGTATACCTTTTGCATGTATATTGCATGCATGGTTAAGTAACACTTTTACACACTCTTCGTGTCCATTTAATGCTGCTATGTGCTGGATATACATATCACAATAATGAAATTATTAGATGTAGATTGAAAAAACATCATGCTGTGATTGTTAGAATGATTGTTTTACTATATCCATTAACTCTTATTAGCTAGATATACTAAGCAGCAAGATCAATTTTAAACTGCATGAATGTGTGTGTGTGTGTGTTCTGTTTTAAACTTGTGAATATCAAACATGAAGATACCAATGGGGTTCTGCCTTTGGAGTCTGTAACACCAGAATCCAAGCCAGCCTTCAAAAGCTCTTCAAGAAAAGCAGCATTGCCAGTTGAGGCCACATGTAACAAGTTCACAGCCGTATTCGGATCCTCTTCTCTGCTCAAATCAATCAGCAATTCTCTAGAACTTATATCGTGTAGCTTCTTCAAATGCTGCATTTAGATCACTTTTAACTCACTTATACATTAATTTAAGCAATATATAGTAATATTCTTCGGCAAAAAGGGAATGCATCTGTCTAATAGGAGTCAAATTAGTTATTACCCGAAGGAAATTTTCCAGTATTTTTCTATTGTCTTCTTTTCTAGTCTGCATTGTCTCTGTAAAATCACTGGTTTTGAGCCTCAGGAGCTGTGTGAGAGTCCTGGTTCTGTAAGTAAAGCTCTGAGGCTTCCAACAAAGTGCCCCAACTTCTCCAAACATGTCCCATCTTTGTAAAATCCCTATAATATTCTCTTTGTTCATTACATAATCAATGATCCCCACTTCTCCAGACACGATTATGTAAACATCCTCTGCTGATTCACCTTGCATGATCACATCTTCTTTTGGAGGTATATACTCAGCCTTCATTTTTGCAGCCTGCACATTCATTTCTTTCTATATCATGGGTTTTCACTTGATACTTCATGATCTTCTTAAATGAACTAGTCTTTGATAGATGTTGTATCAGAGCTTCCATGACGAAACAGCTTTAAAAGGTTAAATTTTAAAGATCTTTTGTTAATAAGCAAAGAAATAAGGTGTGGTTTGATACTCCTCTGGTCTTAGATATAAGAACTAGACAAGGGGTTTACTATGATCCTAAATATAAGTCCCCAATCCACTATGTCTTTCAAATTTATAATTGTTTCCCCAAAGCATCCTTGTTAATTGCATATATTAAGGGTAGTTCCAATGCTTAAACAGGATCTTTTAGGAAAACTAACATACATTTATTACAAATAACTAACTTTTATCTAACTCTTATATTAAAGATAGTGGGTAGTATATACCAACTTACCAAGGACAACAAGATGTCTCTTGAGACACCTTGGAAAAGATAAACTTTTTCTGCAGCTGGAAGGAACAAGTGTTGACAAATGCTTTTGCGTATTGATTTTGGCAGTTGTTCCATAAGCTGATGATGGTTCATACTCTCTGCCTTGTATCTTAAAAACATATAAGAAATGATTTGCTCTTTCAGCCTCGCAGATACTCCATTTCTGCGCGCAAAATTTGATGCTTCTTCAATGTTGTTTCTCTGCATCAAATGCACAGGTAAGATATCAAAAATGTCATTTTATGCGGTGACATACTTTTATCTTAGCTTCAAATCTAATGCACTCCCTCCCTTCATCTGTGTAGGACACAGGTAACTAATTTATGTAAATAAAGAAAATTATTCAAGTTAATTATTTGTGAAAAATATTCTTTAATTAATATGTGCAATGAATAGAGATAATTAGCAAACAAAAATGCTCTCTCCTATCCCTAATATAGTAGCTAATTGGGGGAAGTTGGATTTAGTCTTAGATAGATGACCTCAATCCATTTTGTCTTTTATATTTATCATTTCTTTCCAAACTAGTTATACGTACAAACAAATATATAGTTTATAATGTTATTTAGAACTATTTTCTTAATTTACTCAAATCAGTTAAATAGCTATTATATTAAAGATCAGAAGGAGTATAAATTTGTGAAACAAGGTAAACTAAGATCTTAGATATATGATCAAAATAAACTCCTCAGTTAGCTTTTACATTTAGAAACAGAAGGAGTAGGATCCGAGTAAGGAATGATGCTTACGAATTCCATGGTACGACCGGTTCCTTGGACCACAAGATTGGTCATGTTGCCAATCAAGTAAGCAGTGAGGCCAAGATTGAAGAGCATATAGCAGATGGTGAAGGCCATCTCTATGGGATTCACAGCATGGAAGTCACCATAGCCTACAGTAGTCATGGTGGTGAGGGACCAGTACATGGCTGATATGTATCTTCTCCAAATGCTTGTCTCTTTGAAATTGGGATTTACTGTTCCAATCCATGTCCTCCCTAAATTTGAATGCACGTCTGCTAGTAGGTAGTACAGACACCCACCACAGTGTGCTATAAAATATGTTACCTGCACTCAAAAATCCAAAAATTAAATCTTACTGATGATAAAACTAAAACTAACATTTAAAAATATAAAGTTTGATTTGTTTTGTGTGTTATTGGAGTAAGGAGAGGAAATAAAAATCACATTAGAAATTGTTCAATAGGAATATTAAAGGAGGAAAGTAACATACACAAAGAAGTCTAAGGCATCTGATAAAAAAATAGTTGAACCTGATGTCTTTCTCAAGCCTGGACAATATAAAATCATAGTCAATAAACATAAATTACTCCCCCTTGCCCTAAATATAAGAGCTAGTTGAGGGATTTGCTTTGATCCAAAATATAATACATCAATCCATTTGTCTCTCAAATTTATAATTTCCCCCCTAATTATCCTCATTGATTGGACATACTCAAGGGGGTTTTTATCAATATGATAGTTTCGATGTAAATAATTAAATGAGATGTTTTAAGAAAATCAACAAATATTTTCTTTTCTGTCTTTCTTTTTTGTTTTGAATTAAAGGAGCAAGCACGAATGGCCTAAGGTAACAAACAAGATCAAACCCGCAACCTCTTACTTGCAAAAGAAGCTTACACATGCCACTAAACTATAAGGCTATTGGCCAACACATTTTTTTTTTATAAATAACTAACTTAACTAACTTTTTTAGTATATATAAATTAATTATCTAATTGTTGTACCCCAGAGAGTATTATTAGTGTATAATAAGAGGACCTGGTGAAGTATTGCTTGACTCGTCGAAGCCTCCAGAGTCTAAGGACACCCAAAAGGAAGAAAGGAAGAGCCACTTTGCGTTTGCCTGTGATCAAATAACCCAATGCCTCATATGGTATGGTTGATGCCACGTCCATTATGAACCATGTTGATAAGTACCTATCATCATCATCATCACCACATCATTTTTTGATATTAACAACATATTTGAAATTTTTATTATTATTTTACTTTTTTTTTTGGGTATTAAAATACCAGACATCCGAAAGGTTACATTGATCATACCTAATATCTTGAATTGAATGGAATGATTGGGATATTAATTCTGCATAAAATTATTAAAATTTTTGACATTCATTAATCTTATCAGAAAATGGTGCAAATTTTTAGGTGTCGGTGGGATGATAAATCATGGGCCCATTCCTTAAATTCTTTAGGCCCATTTGTGACTTTTCAAAACCAAATCATGGGCCCATCCGCTTGGTGACGTGCGGGTCCCCTTTTTTTAAATTCTTTTTTTATATATAATTTTTTAAAATTCCCTAATATATTTTAAAAAATCAATAAATAATAACAAATTTAATTTAATGGAACAAGATTAATTGGATCGGGCATATTTTGACTTAAAGAGAAGTACTTCCTGCTGTTTTAAACATAATACTTATTTTGTAGTATAAATTATACTAAAAAATAAGTCTTATTTTTAGAAACTGAGGAGTATATAATAAAGACAATTACGGATATAATTAGAAAATGCATATATAGCTCATTATATGTATGCCTTTTCTACATAATTATTTCTCTTTTTCTTTCTATTTTATGATTTGGGGCAATTACAAACAAACACACTATACAAATAGATACACACACATACATACACACACATGCGCACATATGTGTATCAATATATTGAAAATTGGACTGATTAATGAACCAATCGAAATTGTGGTTTAATGGTCAATAACCCAACTATGATTAAATTGAGAACCTAATCACAATTAAAATATATAAAAATATCTATATATAATCTTTAAAAATAATATTTAAATGAAAAATATATTAATTTACAGGTAAATATAACATTTACGTTTACACTACATATTATCTCATAAAATAGAATTATTAAAATACAAATATAATGAACTATTTTTTTTAACTTGAAATAATATTATTTCAAGTTGAACAAGGAAATAACACTTTTGACCAATTCAAAACCTTTGACCAAAATAATTATGAGACTAATTTATTGATTCCTGACCGACATAAATTGAGATGTGACATAATTCCTTCCATTAGGCAGGCTTTGGTGCCATTGGGAATTTGGGATGTGACTTTTTTCTTTTCTTTTTTTTTTTAGATGTAATTTAAAATGTTACCAACCTTGTGGGCTTGTGTTTGGGCAGAAAAATTAACTAACAAACCTGTGGGCAATTTTTTTGGGGTCTCGAACAAGGAGCTGGGTAGAACGATCAATGTAAGCAAGGAAGAAAGTGAGAACAATGTCAACTGCAAAGAAGAGATCAACCACATTATCCACAATGAACAATTTGTGCTTTGGAGATGACATCAGAAACCCTATTTCAAAGGGATACACCCATGCTGAGTATGCCACCAGCACCACCATTAAACTCTCCCAACACCTGCACATCCACCATTTTCCCTCTTTCAGCAGGCAGGGCTTTTACACCATGATGTAAAAAGTATAACCAATGACATTTTTGTAAATAAAATGCGATATTGCTGACTTTCTAGTCAATAATTAATATAAATACTACATTCGATTTTTAATATAAGAGCTTGTTTGATTTTTATTTTGATCCTATATACTACCCTCGATCTCTAATATAAGAGCTCGTTTGACTTTTATTTTGGTCCTCAATATAAGACTCTAATCCAATTCATCTGTCATATTTATCTCTTTTTTTTGTAAGATAGTTCTTATAACAATTGTAGTTTTAGTCAATACACTTGATTAGTAAGGATATTTTAGAAAAGATAACACATATTTATTACAAATGCGATATTGTTGACTTTCTAGTCAATAATTAATATAAATACTACATTCGATTTTTAATATAAGAGCTTGTTTGATTTTTATTTTGATCTTATATACTACCCTCGGTCTCTAATATAAGAGCTCGTTTGACTTTTATTTTGGTCCTCAATATAAGACTCTAATCCAATTCATCTATCATATTTATCTCTTTTTTTTGTAAGATAGTTCTTATAACAATAGTAGTTTTAGTCAATACACTTGATTAGTAAGGATATTTTAGAAAAGATAACACATATTTATTACAAATGCGATATTGTTGACTTTCTAGTCAATAATTAATATAAATACTACATTCGATTTTTAATATAAGAGCTTGTTTGATTTTTATTTTGATCCTATATACTACCCTCGGTCTCTAATATAAGAGTTCGTTTGACTTTTATTTTAGTTCTCAATATAAGACTCTAATCCAATTCATCTATCATATTTATCTCTTTTTTTTGTAAGATAGTTCTTATAACAATAGTAGTTTTAGTCAATACACTTGATTAGTAAGGATATTTTAAAAAAGATAACACATATTTATTACAAATAACAAACTTAACTAATTTTTTTAATCTATTCAAATAGTCAACAAGCTCTTATATTAAAAATTAAAGGTACTACAAGACTCCAGTCTATGTTATCTTTCATATTTATCATTTTTTTTAAAGTAGTCCTTGTAATATTGATAATTTAGCAAAAATATTTTATAAAAGACAATGCCTATTTATTACAAATAACTAACTTAACTAATTTTTCTAAGCTATTCAATTTATTCAGCTAATTCTTATATTAGACATGAGAGTTGTTTTTACACCAATTAAGTCAACAATTAATGTAAATAGTTGTTTCCACACTGATGGTATCCACATGGGTTGGAGAGAAGATGTAAAATGACCTTTTTAACCCAGAAAAAAGCGTGTTTGGACTTGGGTTTACTTTCTTTGACCAAAATTTACTCTCTTTGCCTTTCCAAATAAAAAATTGTTAGATTTGTTAGATTCCTCGGTATACTGCAAAATCTAAACATATTATAATATCCAACGCAACGTGGATATCGTGTCACTTAAAGTTATATTACATTATGGGGGTGTTTGACAAAACCAAAATCTAGGTTTCAGAATCACTTTTCCGCAAAACGAGGTAACCTCCTCCACATATTTACTTCGTAATCCGTAAAAGCACTTCTGAAACTATGATTTGGTTTCTATCCAAACACCCCCTATATGAAGAGAAAATTCTCTTCACATTGAAGATATAAGAGTTCTGGGGCCCACAAATTTCTCTCTCTCTCTGTGAATTCGAGATGTAAGCAAAATTAGAATTTTCAATTATTTGAAAGGCCTTGTTTAAGTTTTTATTCTTTTCTAAAGATCTCTTTAAACAAGATTAGCCAGTTATCCCACTGATCTTTTTGCTCATTCCAAAACATTCTTAAAGAGCATAAGATCCTATATTAAAACAAATTGATGACAACTACCAGTTATATATCTTTCAGATATCAAAACTGGATCTAGAAATTAACTTCGAACTCCACGCACTAAATAAAATTAGAATTCTGCAGATCTAGTGAGCTGGGTTTTACCTGTATCTTCTATCCATTGGAGATATGATCCATCCTTTTGAGTTAGTTGGATTCTGATTATAACTTGAAGCACCCAATGGAGGAAGGATCACTTTTGAAACATTCTGCAGATTGAAAGTTGGAGATTCATAATCTTCTTCAAGATGAGGCTGTTCTTCCAACTCCTTCTGCTGTTTCTGCTCATTCTGATTCAAGCTGGAAGCTACCTGATGATGATTGTGTGAGCCTGAATCCTCCTTCTCCATACTATTTAATTTCTGGGAAAGGATTTCAGAATGAAAATATGAGTACCCAAGAAAGAAAGAGCAAGAAAATGGGAGAAAATTGGTCCTCAGAGAGTGGAAGAAAAACTTGTATGCTCTTAGGGTAAAGGAAGGTGCTGGGACTCTTCCCTGTCCTGTTGAGTGATGTGACACTGGCAAATGAGGTGGGAGACAGAAAAATAGTTAACACCTTAATTCGATTGATTTTTTTTATTTTTTATTTATTTATGGTTAATAATTAAACGCCTATGATTGATTCATGCTACTATTTGAGATGAGATGCTCAATCTCTACTTTCTAGCTCAAAAAGGAGGAGACAGTGGATGAAGATTTTCAATAATTTTAAATGATATAGTTACAATGTTCATATTTATACTGTGTTGATTTTTATTAAAAGAAAGTGTGAAAATGAATGACATGAGAATAAAATAAATTTTAATGCAATAAAATATTATGTTTGTCATGTCTCTGGGATTGATATTAAATTTTAATTTTATATCCAGCTTAATGACGACCATAAGGAATGGGCCAACATGACCTGATATTTTTTTAATATAATAATAGTTTTTTTATTTCAATATAAAAGTGTTAAAATGCAATGAAATATTTTAAATTCTTAATATGGATAGGATGTCATAAATTCCAATCCCATTTCTTTAAATATTTCACCTACAAATGTCAAATTCCAAGTCTCGATTTGATTAATCATATTATTAATTTTGCTAATATTTTTATTATACTATTCATTTTAGTATATCATTTGTTTAAAATATCATATGTGCATCACTTGAAAACAATAACTTTTCCTCATACAGAATTCTAAAAAAATTTAATATTATGTCATGAATTAAATTATTTTTAATAATTGTTTAATAGTAATTTTGAAAATTTAAATAATTTTATATAATTCGTATCCTTTTTAGTAATTATGCATTAAAAAATAATGAAAAAACTAATCCGTCAATCTTTATAATTTTATTAAATTTTGAACTAGGTCCCTACTTTTTTTTTCTTTCCTTTTTATTCACTTCTTATTGTATGCTCCGTTACCTATGCAAGTCCTTCCATCTATGGAATACTCCTCTGATTCTAAATATAATACCCAACTTGTAGTGTAATTTACACTATAAAATGAGTTCTATATTTAGGACTCCTCGACCAGAGGAGTATGAATTTTTCGTTAGTGGGGTGATGTGGCTGTCTTCCTAAGTACAAACATTGAAAAGGAACTGGGCATGCAATAGGAGAGAGAGTCATTGGAAAATAAAAAGGCACAAACACTGAAAAGGAACTGGATGTTTGGATGGAATTAAAATCATAATTTTAAAAATCTTTTTATGAAATATGTGAAAGAATTTATCTCGATTTATAAAAAAATACTCTTAAAAAATACTTTTTCTCCAAACACCTCCTTTCACCCATCTTCATCTTCAGTTCTTCTCCTTTATGGCTTCTTCGCCACTTTCACCATTACTGCTCCTTCACACTCTGAGCTACTCATGGCAAGTTCTAGAGAAAGAAACTTCATCTCAATATCAACACCATTGGCCACGTCGACCATGTTAAATATTACTCCTCCGGTTCTTAATATAGGACCCAATTATTGAGTTAGTTTTAGTCTTAAATATAAGACCCATTTATCATATTTATCAATTTTTTCTAAATTAACCCTATGGATACTCCCTCAACCATAATCAAGTGGAAGATGAAGATGGGATATTAAGGAAGATAATTATGGTATTTTAGGAAAAACGTGTCACATTTCTTATAATTAACTAACTTACCTAACTTTCTTAATCTAATCAAATTAGTTAAATGGGTCTTATATTAAGAAAGGAGGATAATTTTGTCTTCTCTGGTCCGTACAAATCAGTCCCCAGCCTTCAAAAGCAAAGCCATAATTGAAGTGAAATTTCGATCAGACAATAAAAAAGAGAATGAGTTTATAATCTTTTTTTACTTGACCCATTTTATTTGATACACATAATAAATCATTTAGAATGGTAAGATGGCCACATCACCTCCACTAACAGCAAATTAATGTTTCATAAACGGAAGGGCTTTAACAGAAACCATAGCATACAATAAGGAGTGAATAATATATATATATATATATATATATATAACGACCTGATTCAAAATTTGATAAAAAAATATAAGGACCAGCATATTAGTTTTCTAAAAAATAATTATATCCATATTTATACTGCGTTGATATCCAGCTTAATGACGACCACAAGAAATAGGCCAACATGACCTATTTTTTAATATGATAATATGCGATTTTTTTTATTCCAACTTATAAGTTTTAAAATGCACTAAAATATTTTAATATAGACAAAACTCATTTCTTGAAATATTTCATTATTTGGTTAATGTTTTGAAAGAATTCAAATGTCGAATTCCTAGTCTTGATTTGATTAATTATATTATTAATTTTGCTAATATTTTATTATACTATTTATTTTAGTATATCTTTGTTTAAAATAATAACTTTTCCTCATGCAAAATTCTAAAAAATTTTAATATTATGTCATGAATTAACTTAATTTTAATAATTACTGAAATTAAATAATGAGTATGAAAATTTGAATGATTTTATATAATTCATACACATTTTAGTAATTATACATCAAAAAATAATTCTGATAAATGACATCCAAATCCCAAACACATTTAAATTTTTTAAGAAGTTTTTAGAAGAAAATTTTCAAACAGAAACTACAATTAATCATAATCACTTGAAATCAAAATGACGTTAAAAAAATGTGGATTATTCAGAAGCATATTTGCCCAACTTCAATTCAATGGGTCGAAAATTTAATGCTCTCACTAATCATATCTGGAATTCGGCTTGACTGTCGGTTGCCAAAACCTTATGGGTTTGCTTTTTCCCCATTCATGAATTCTTTTTCTTTTTTGGGCAACAACCCATTCATTTATGATATAATCAATTAATATAAGACCAAAAGCAAATCCTTTCATCATTATTACACCATTACTATTTAATTTTTATTCATTCAAATAAAAAATTTTAGATGTAACAAATTCAATTTTTTTTTTTAAAAAATATCTTTATTGGAAATTTCTGAATACATATACGTTATATTCTTAATCGTGCATTATTTACAAGTTTATTACTCCTCCGGTCCTAAATATAAGACTCTTATACAAGTGTGTATAAGGGCCTTATATTTAGGACCGGAGGAATATATAAAGATGTTGATATTAATTATAATATATTATATGCCAAAAAAATTATAACATACTCCTCCAGTCCTTAATATAGGACCCAATTGTTGAGTTGGTTTTGGTCCTAAATATAAGACCCATTTATCATATTTATCAATTTTCTCTAAATTACCCCTATGGATACTCCATCAACTATAATCAAGTAGAAGATGAAGAGGGGTATTAAGAAAAATGATTATGGTATTTTAGGAAAAACTTGTCACATTTCTTATAATTAACTAACTTACCTAATTTCCTTAATCTAATCAAATAAGTTAAATGGGCCTTATATTAAGGATCGGAGGAGTACTAAATACATATCCTTTTAACAGTCACTGATTAGCGTCATAGGTTAGGAGTTAGGATCACAAGTCCTCTGAAATTTGGGCTTGTGTATGTCTACGAGCCCAACTTCACTGTATGGCTTGTCACTCTCGAGCCCAAATCCCCTGTAGCGCAGTTTTAAGTTTGGAGTTTATACAGAACTTCTTTAGTAATATACGTGTAACAATGTTAGAGAGTCTTATTTCACTAGGTAGGATTACTTATACAAATTAGATGATGTCATTATACTCTATCAAACCAAAAAAAAATTATACAATGATGTCATTTGGACAATTTACTCCCCTACCCTATGGCATGGGACCCACAAACGCATCATACACATACGCCCCCATTTCGACTCCCTCCAGTATGAAAGGAGGTGGGGGGTGCCATTTCAGCTATAAGTTCGTGATTAAAAAAAAAAATAGTTAAGTTAGTTATATATAATAAATATATGCTAGTTTTCTTAAAATACCCCTTTAATCATTTGTATTGGAAATTATCATTATTGATGAAAACCCTTTTAATATGGGTGATTAATTGAATTATTTAGGAAAAAAATTATAGAATTACAAGAGAAACAGGATTAGGATCTTATATATATATAAAAGATCAAACCAAACTCCTCAACTAATTCCTACATTTAGGATAGAAGAGTGATTAGCATCTAAGTAAACAATGATGCTTACAAATTCCATGATATGACCAGCTCCTTGGACAACAAGATTTGTCATGTTGCCTATGAAGCAAGCAGTGAGGCCAAGATTGAAGAGCATATAACAGATGGTGAAGGCCATCTCCATCTAGTCGAGAAATTTATTTTGATTTTAAATATAATATATTAATTTATTTTGTTTCTCAAATTTATAATTCCCCTTAATTATTCTTATTAATTGCATACAGGGGTCTTCATTAATGTGAATAGTTTTAGTGTAAGAAAATTCGCCAAACATTTCCTATAAATAACTAATTTCTTAGTATATATGAATCAGTGATTTAGCTTCTGAATCAAGGAAGTATTGAAGCATAATAAGAGGACTAGTGAAGTACTGCTTGACTCTTCTAAGCCTCCAAAGTCAAAGGATGCCCAAAAGGAAGATCCACTTTGAGTTTGCTTGCGAACAAATAACCAATACCTCATATGGTATGCTTGATGCCACATCCATTATGAACCATGTTGATAAGTACCTATCATCATCGCATCATTTTCATATTAAAATGTTTGGAATTTTTATTGCTATTTTACTATTTTATTTAATTTTTATGGGTCTTAAATACCAGACATCCTAACCGAAAGTTACTTTGATCATACCTAACATCTTGAATGTTTTTTTTTGGGTCAAATAACATCATGAATTGAATGAATGATTGCAATATTAATTCTACATTAAATTATTAAAATATTTTTGGCATTGATTTATCCCATGAGAAAATCGGGTAAATTTTTAGGTGTTGGTGTAATGATAAATCACGGGCCCATTCCTTAAATTCTTTGGGCCATTTTTTACTGTTCAGTATTGAACCTCTGATCTGTTTGATGGCGTGCGGGTCCCATTTTTCAAATTATATTATTTTATTTTGATTAAAAAATTCTGCTACTTGTAATGTGAAGCCCTCAGGCTTGCAGACATCTTGTTATTCCCTAATATAAAGTCAATAACTAATGACAAATTTAATAGAAAAAGATCAACTGGATCGGACGGTCTTAGAAGTAAGGAGTCAAGGCACAGATTGATTAAAAAAAAGGCATATATTGATTCAAAAATTATTCGTCTCTACAATATACTACTTCCGGTCCTTAATATAACACTTTATTTGACTTTTATTTTTGTCCTAAATATAAGACCCATTTCCACTTTATCTCTCATATTTATGCATTTTTTCCTAAAATAATCCTTTTAACAATGATAAGTCTAGATAACAAACTTGATTAGTAAGGATATTTTAGAAAAAAAAAACACCTATTCATTACAAAACTAACTTAATTAAGTTTTTTAATCTCTCCAAATTAGTTAATTGAGTCATATAATTAAGACCGGAAGTAGTGGTGTCCTTTTTCTGAATTAAATCACAGATTGATGATGACACTTAACTTTGGAAAAAAAACAAGAAAAAGATCTCATAGCTTTTTTTTCTCCCAGAAGAACCGGCAAGAAACACATACTCCTAATAGTCCAAATCATTCATTATCACAAAGAAGAACAGTAAGGTAAGTTTGTTGTCTTGTGATGATCATAAAAAGGATATTTGTATTATCATCCCATTCCCATCTCACTGGCATTTTAATTGCTTGAAGCAAAGAACAATTGAATTCCTGTGATAAAAAGTTAAAAACAGCAAACAATGATGTTAAACACATGGTGATTGATGTTATTTTCAGAAAATTGCATCCTAGCGCATGCTTATGCTTATTCAATGCAAGCTAGATTTAACCCCTTTGGCTTTTGAAGATTCCTTTGTTTATTATAAAGATAAAACATCAAAACCCACCTTTAGTTTTTTCTTAGAGGGTGTTTGGGTAATAACCCAATCCATGGTTTGGGGAAAAAATTACCCAAACACCATTAAAAAAAAAAAAACCAAAACCATGATTTTGGTAGAAAACAATTTTTTTGCTTTGGGGAAAAAAGGAGAGTGTGAGAGTTTATGGATATGTGCCTTGTTGTTTCTTTTTTTTTTTTTTGGCCCAAACAATATACACCCACATTATTCATCTCTTTCTTATTGTTTCAGACACAGTACGAGGGAGAGCCTAAGAGAATCATATATATATATATATATGTGTGTGTGTGTGTGTGTGTGTTGTGTGTTTATATTAATTACTATAATAAATAATAAATTGTTTTATGTGTGCTTATTTAGTTTTGTCAAAAAAATATCATGGTATTTTATATGTATAAACTTTAAAATAAAATAATATTTTCTATTGGTAAAAAATATTCATTTTTTACAAAAACATTTTTAATCTCATATTTTATAAATATATATACACATATTAATTATTTATTAATTATATTTTCTTATATGTTCTTAATTATGTTGGTAAAAAATATATATTATTAACAATTTTAGTCCTTTAAATTAAAATATATTATAAAATCTATATTTTATATAATTATCATATTAACTTATGCTTTTTTTTAGTAATTTGCACATATAAAAAGTGTTTCTGATAACAACTATCTAAATACTCTCACTTTAGCAGAATCATTTTTTCACAAAATTTATTCTCCAGAAGTCATTCTCCAAACCATGATTTGGTTTCATCCAAACACCCCTTTATTATTCTCCCAACAACTCAGACCTTTTGGGTTAGCTGATTGATTTATTTTTAGAATTTTCATCAATTAGTTGTGCGTTCTGAAAGCTACTATGCTAACAAAGGAGGCGTGTTTGCTGATATTAACACTTCATTTGTAAGAACAGTTACTAAACTGTCCTATTAATCAACAAGGGGATGCTCTTCTCCTCTGATAATAATGATCTAGTGGGCATAGATAGACGCAAAACCAAGTTCATGGAGTGGTTGGTTAAAGGTCGTTCCAGCTGCAGAGTAATTGTGTAACAGGAATGGGAGGACTGGGGAAGACAACCACTACAAAAAAAAAACAGAACTTTAGGCGACGACTTTTAGCGGCGACAACAAAAAGTCGTCGCTGAAAGTGGACATTCAGCGGCAACTTTTTTTGTCGCCGCTGAAAGTCTTAGTTTCAGCGGCGACTTTTGTGTCGCCACTAAAAGTTCACGCTGAAACTAAGACTTTCAGCGGTGACAAAAGTGTCGCCGCTGAAAGTGGACATTCAGCGGCGACTTTTTTTGTCGCCGCTAAAAGTTCGTTGCTGAAACTAAGACCTTCAGCGCGACAAAGTGTCGCCCTGAAAAGTGGACCTTCAGCGGTTACTTTTTTGTCGCCGCTGAAAGTGGACTTTTAGGGGCGACTTTTTTTGTCGCCGCGAAAAGTTCGCTGCTAAATCTAAGACTTTCAGCGGCGACAAAAGTGTCGCAGCTGAAAGTGGACTTTCAGCGGCGACTTTTTTTGTCACCGCTGAAAGTGTAATATAATAATATATATTTTATTTTACAATATTATAAACAAATTTAATCTGGCTCAGCGGCAAGAAGATTGGACATGAAAGGAGGCGGTCACGAGTTCGAACCTTGAAGAAACACATTTAAGGTGAAAATATTTGGACGATGACGTGGTGAGGAGGAGTGATGTGGCAATGACGTGGAGGTGGCTAGTGATGATGTGGTCGGAGTCGGTGATGATGTGGCCGCCGATGACGATGACGTGGCATCGGCGGTGATGACGTGGTGGCCGGTGACGATGACGTGGATTGGTAAAGCCAATTCTTCTTAGGCATTACTTTCAGTGGCGACAAAAAAGTCGCCGCTGAAAACACTTTCGGCGGGTGACATTCTTGTCGCCGCCAAAAGTGTCTTTTAGTGGTGACAAATGTCGCCGCCGAAACTTCTAAAAGTCGCCGTTGAAAGTATCTTTCAGCGGTGACTTTTTTTAGTCGCCACTGAAAGTTTTCAGCCACGACTGCTACGGTAACGACTTTTTAGCGACGACTTGTCGCCGCTGAAAACTTTCAGCGCGACTTTTTGTCGCCGCTGAAAGTCAAGTTTTTTGTAGTGAACCCTCGTGAAGAAAGTATATGATGACCCAGCCAGAAGTGAGAAGAAATTTCAAAACCTAAAACCTGTGTTTTGATTACTGTTTCTCAATCTTCTAGTACTGAGGAACTTCTTAAGGACGCAGTTGAACAACTTTTTTATGAAATAAGACAGCCAGTTCTAGAAGGCTTAGAAAGCATGAGCAGTCTTAAGTTGAAAGCGAATATCAAGAAATTGCGGAGAAGTGCACATATATGATCAACGCTAGTTTGTTGTCAAGCCTCTCGTTAAATGCATAGACTTCAAACCTTCGTCCCCCGTTCATATTCCTAGGCCACAGTTGATCTAAATTAAACCTTTTATTGTGAGAGTTTTGATCATTTAGGGCATAACGCTTGCTAACGAAAAAAGGGTGCAAATCGGGGGCGTAAGGTGGTGATGCTCCTCCATTTTTGGAGAGCTTTTGGAAGAATCTTTATGAAAATTGCTTTTTCTACGTATTAGATCCTTTTAAGCCATAAGATTTTATAATGAAGACCTTTCCCTCATTTTCTCAATACAATATAGTGTTATTTTTGAATGTAGATAACAAGTCATAAAATATAAAATTATCACTGAGATTTTAAATTTCATAAGAAAATATCAATATTAACATGTCAATCAATTATCACTACAAAAAAAAACATGGTTTAGCGCGACGGATTTAGCATTTAGCGACAGATTAGCGACTCTTAAAATTTTGTAATATCTGATTCATTTAAAAATGGGCCTGATATGATATTACAGGATCTGAATATACTTAATTAATGATTTTGAATAATATCTTGATTGAAATTAAATGGGAAGCATTATAATTAATGATATTTTAGTTGGAGGCTCAAATTAAAAAATTAATAATTAATTTCATATTTAAACAATATCTTAATTAAAATTTGAATATACTGAATTAAATGGGGAGTATTATAATAAGGGAGAATTCTAATTAAATCTAGTTGAAATATCAAAATCCAAATTAAGGCCTATACTTTTAACAAATTTCTATTTGGCCAACAAGTCTTATTGGGAATTTTTGAATGTTGTTAAAAGACTAAAATATCCATTTAAAGTAGCAAATTGGTAATTGATCCAATCAATTTATGACCTAAATTCTTTTTTCTTGAGATGTTGCTAGATGAACTATCGGCTTCATGTGTTCTTACCTTATATATTGTTAAAAGAATAAAATGTATAATTTTTTTAATAAATTTATACTAAGAAGTTCATATTACTTCATCCATCCATGAAATGTTAGAAATTTATTTAGATTTTTAATACAAACTCATATTAATTATTAGTAAAATTTTTAGTAATAAGATTATAAGATATAATATATGATGTGAACATCTATATAGCAGATATAACAAAGCACTTAAGAAACGAAAAATTTGATGCTGAAATATACTAATACATTAAGCTTCTAATTTTTCAACTATAAGAAAAAAAATTCCTTTGAAAGATTATTAATTTAATGGTGTTAGAATCAAATAATTAAAGGGTCTTATTCCCATTACCCAAAAAAGTCCCTGTTCCCATAAATTTTCTTATCAATATATCAATTTAGTATTAAATATCATATTATGCATTGTCAATTTTTTGCTCCTAGTATTTCCAAAAAAATTTATGTAAAACATTTGGTATAAATAAATACCATATAATGTCAAGTTTCATGGCTTAATTTTTTTTCAAAATAATATTATTTTAAATTATAAAAGGATATTTTTGTCTTTTACAATATTTAAAGATTTCTAATAAGGCTTATTGGCCTAATTAGAGATTTGTTAAAAGTGTGGACTTTATTTGGATTTGATGATTTTTACCGGATTTAATCAGGATTCTCCCTTATAATAAACGAGATTTTAATTAGAGGTTCAAATAAAAAAATTAATGATTAATTTCTGAGTTGAATAATATCTGATTGAAATTTGAATATATTGAATTAAATGGGAAGCATTATAATTGAATAGAATTTTAATTGAAGCTTAAACGAAAAAAAATTAATAACTAATTTTAGATTGAAATAATATCTCAATTGGATTTGAAGATATTGAATTAAATGAAAAGGTGGCAGTGGGATGTGAGAGAGTTTTGAAGGCAAGCAAAGAATCGAGCAGAAAATCAACAGCGGAGTATATCATAATTAGATCCTAATTTTGTCATTATATAATTCATTTTAGTATATCTTTTGTTTAAAATATTATATGTTCTTCACTTGAAAATAATAATTTTTCTTCATACAAAATTCTAAAAATTTTTAATATTATATCATAAGTTAAATTATATTGAATATTGAAATCAAATAATAATTATGAAAATTTGAATAATTTTATATAATTCATGCCCATTTAATCACTTGAAATCAAAATCACCATAATAAAATGTGGATTATTAGAAACCACATTTGCCCAACTTCAATTCAATGGGCCGAAAATTTAATGCTCTGAACCAATCAATTTTACAACTCGGCTTGACTGTGGGTTACCAAACAAACCCTATCCGTTTGCTTTCATTTATTCTTTTCTTTTTTCGGTAAGAACCCATTCATTTATGTGGCAGAAAAAACAAGCCGTTCATTAATGATACAATCAGTCAATATATGATAAAAAAAACAATCGTCTCATCATTATTTATTCGGTTAATACTACTTCCGGTCCTAATTATAAGAGTCAGTTGATTAATTTGAGGAGATTAAGGAAGTAAGTTGAGTTAATTATTTGTCTTAAATAAATATATGTCTTTTTTAAAATATCCATTACTAATCAAATGTATGACTAGAACTATTATTGTTAGAATGACTGCTTTGAAAAATATATAAAAATGAGAGATAAAATAGATTGGGGTCTTATAGGACCAAAATAAAAGTCAAACAGATTCTTATATTAAAGAGCTGAGATAGTATATGATAAAAAATTTTAGATGCGATCCTAGTCTAATTAGCGCTTCTGCATCCCCCAGTGACTTTCTTTGGACACGTCGGAATTAGCCCAAGCAATTGTCTACAATACAATCCACGTCAGCTCTCGCGCGCATGCATTAGGAATACACGTGTAATTGCTTTTTCGGAGTGAACATATACCGAAAATAATTTCGTATACCTATTTTTTTAAAAAAAAATAAACAGACGCTCTTATTATCTCGCTTTAAGTTCATTAATCACCCCAAACATATACGATTAATATTTGAGATAATATCTTGATTGGAGAACTGAGCAACATATATATAGACACACACACACATATATATAATAAGTCGTAAATATTCCTTTTTTTTTTTTCCGAACTTGGTGCATTGTGTGGGAGGGACGTCCAGTTATTTAATTAGGATAATGGATTAGATGATGGCCAAATACATTATTTAAACACAATATAGAGTGGAGAATTATGGAGTTTAGATGTGGAATGGTTTGTCATCTTTCACTTTACGTGAACTAAAGGCATTCGTAGTGCTGTCTTTTTGTCCACCGGAAAGGCTGCTTCATTCTTTTAATTAGAGAGACGAATACTTATATTATCTCCCGTTATTAATATTGGAGATAATTAAAAATTAAGTTTGGTTTTAAATATAAGAAACCAATCTAATTTGTCCTTATACTTATCTTTTTCTTTTTGAACAATCCCCATTGATTATACACACTAAGAAAGCTTGTATTAAATGATAGTTTCATTACAAATAATTTAAGAAGGTGTTTTAAAAAAAAAATCGACATACATATTTTAGACAAATAACTAATTAATTACCTCTCTTAATCTATTTTAATTAATTAAATGGATCTTATATTGAGAATCAAGATAATAGCTTAGAATTTTAAATGAGATTGAATACACAACCTCCTACGTACTACTTACGATTCTTAATATAAGAGCTTTTTTGACTTTTAATTTGGTCATAAATATAAAACTCCCAATATATTCCGTCCCTCATATTTATTTATTTATTTTTTTAAATTGTATTTGTAATAATTACACATGTTAAAAGTTTCATCAAATAGTAATTTTATCTAATACATATTTTTAGTAAGGGTGTTTTAGGAAATGTGTCACCTATTTGTTACAAATAACTAATTTTTTAAATTTTTTTAATCTACTCAAATTAGTCAACTAATTCTTATACTACCTCCGGTCCTAATTTGAGGAGATTAAGGAAGTAAGTTGAGTTAGTTATTTGTAACAAATAAGTGTTGTCATTCCTAAAATATCATTGCTAATTAAGTGTGTTGGCTAGAACTATCATTATTAGAAGGACTATCTTGGAAAAAAAATGCATAAATATGAGAGACAAAATGGATTGGGGTCTTATAATTAGGACCAAACTAAAAGTCAAACAAGGTCTTATATTAAGGACCGGAGATAGTATTAAAGATATGATAGTACTACTTCCAGCCTTGATATAAGAACTAGTTGACTTTATATTAAAAAAATTAGTTAAGTTAGTTATTTATAATAATACATGTTATTTTTTAAAAATATTTTTACTAATCAAATATATTAGTTAAAACTATTATTATTATAAGGATTATTTTTAAAAAATAAATAATATAATAGATAAAATATATTAATATTTTAAATTTAAATTAAAATAAAATTAAATGAGTTATATTAATGGGGGGGGGTTAGTATAAGAAATCATCTTCTTCCTCATGAAAAAAGCCAACATTTCACAGACCTCTTGTCAGCAGTCTTATCAAATTTCAAGTCTTTTTTTTTTTTTTTCAAAGTTGAAAATAACGTTATAAAGTTGACTCTAAACCGAGCCACGTTCATAGAACGTCCAAACCGTCGTTCTAAAAACCTACTTTTGACTTTTGATACAAAAAATTTTGCAGAATAAAATATTAACTTAAAACTAGCTTTTATACAAACTAATTCGAATTATTTTATTTTAATTGATTTTATGCTGCATAAAATAAATATGTAAAATATATAAGAAAAATTGTCTCATAAAACTCAATAGAACATTAACTTAATAAGAACTTAACCCTACGTTTAGTGCAAGAAAATTGAAAAGAAGGGGTGAAAAATTTTAATGAGTTTGATTTAAAAAATTAAAAAAATAGAATTTTGAAATTATGATATAGAGAAAGTGTAAAATAAAAGAGCACGAAAATCTAACTAAAAACTTTTAATTTTAATTTTTTAATTTTTTAAATCAAACTAATAAAATTTTTCTCTCTTCTCCCCTCCTCTCTCATACCAAACAGATCATAAAAGGCATGTGATGGAACAAACTTCTGGTTATTTGTATGGTATCGTTACATGTTACGTATTCTATTTAATTTGCCACATCATATTTGTCAATTATCATTTTTGTTCTGCAAATTTGTTCATCATTCCATCAATATCCCCCCCTTTTTTTATATTATCCTATTGCAACACATAATGACTTATTTTGGCACGGAAAGTTTCTAAGTTCTACCGTATGAATACATCTCTTCCCAATAAACAATTGTTTCCCTCAGTTGTTTCTTGACGCAAGAAGAATGCGACCAAACAAATTAAACAAAACTCGCAATGATCTCTTGTCCCTGACTCTGAAAGAAAAAACCTCAAATCTAATGATTTTAAGAGCAAACGTAACCAAAATCTTACTAGATGCTCGATGACAAGTATTTACAAGCCTGCAGAAAGCTATCTAAAGATTCTAAACTACTCTCCAAGGAAAAGTTATGAATCAAAAGAAGTTGACATTAAAACAAAAACAAAAAAACAAAAAGCTTGAGCTTTTTTTTTTTCCGTTTTAAATGGCGCACACATGAAAAGAAAAAAAATAAGAGGGAGGGATAGGCTCTGGAAGTTAGATCTTGGGCCTCAGATCCTTCTGAAGTGATCAATTATCTCCCATGAACCTGTTTTAAACATAGCCATCAGCCTCGCAAATTCATCAAATGGTGAAGTTGCTACTCACATCCAATATGACGCAAGAAAGAAGAAGCAATATTGAACATGACAGTTTGCTGAGGACCAAGGAAAAGATAAGAAACAGATCACCCTATTCATCTTATGAAACAACACCAGCACTTCAATTGCGCTTGAATTTACATTTCCCTCTATATACAAGAGCCTAAAGCAAAACCAAGAAATACATGAAAATTGCAGAACTCTATACCATATAGCTAGCCAATCTAAGACTTTTATCCTATACCTATTTTCAACAGCTCAAGTGAATTATAGTTTCTTAGATAGTAGATGTAAAGAGACAACAGTTCCAATCATGCCCTGCTTGCTAAGTTTTTCCACACTTCAGAATAGAACCTCCACAAAGGTAGGCCTATTGGCATTTCAAGCTTCAGTTCTTGAAATGTTGACGAGAATTGGTGATATGGAATTCAATTATCCCACAATACTCATCAGGTTATGAACTTCAAATGAAGCCATTTTTTCATCAGCAAGATTCAGTTAAACTTGAGGCAAGCCCTATGGCGAGAAAAGCTCCCAGCTTCGTACGCAATGTAAGGAATAATTAAGTTGACTTGTCTATTACCTGAGCATGTCTCCATTACGCAATTTTGGGCCGTTTAATGCTGGAGATATGCTAAAAGTATTGTTATCATCATTGTAAAATGAAGGGTGTCCAAGAGGCATAGGCCGGTCAGGGATTTCTGGAACTTCGGCATCACCTTCCAACATCTTCAAAGCTTCAGAAATCGTTGGCCTCAAAGCAACCATCACATGAGAACATAGAATCCCCACAAGCAAAAACCTTTCCATTATGCTCTTAGGATTTGAAGTAGGACAATCACCATCTTTTAAAAGGGAAGCATCTAAAGCCTCGTCTATGTTCCCTGATTTAACCAAGGACCATGCCCAGTCTGTGATCAAGAATGCCCTTGGGGATCCTGATGAAGATAAGTCAAGAGCTTTTCTCCCACACATTATCTCCAAAACAACCACACCAAAGCTATAGACATCGCTCTTCTCAGTGAGCTGACCATATAGTGCATACTCTGGGGCTAGATATCCATGAGTTCCAGCAACTCTAGTAGTGAGATGAGACTGACCTTCCCTGCTCTGCTTGGCAAGCCCAAAATCTGCAACTCTTGCCCTCATATCTGCATCGAGTAGTATATTGGTGGCCTTGATGTCTCTGTGATAAATTGAAG